TCAACCTTGAGCCGGTGAGATTTGAACAACCGAACTGCAGTGAGCTGAAGTAGCCTGCAGTGCTGCGTTTAACCACTGCGCCACCTTGGCTCCATATTAATACAATTGAGAAAGAAAAGCTTGCAGGGAACAAGAGATGTTATTCATGTTATTTGCCACAAAACTGGTATTAAATTTTGAGCGGAATACTCACCACTTCCTTTTAGAAGTGAATATGAGAGAGAGAAAGAGAAAATTCACCATTCCATTATCTCCCAGCCTAGTAGTTTTCCTTTACAGAATAGAGGGCTTACTTTTAAGTGAGTACATTTAAGTATTTACTTACTATTTACATTTATTTGCTGTGCTTTTAAAATTAATTATTTAGGTTATATCCCAGGACAGGGCTGTCCTAGGATATAACCCAGCTATGACCGCTGGCTGGGGAATTCTGAGAGTTGAAGTCTTCCAGACTTAAAGTTGCCAGATTCGAGACCTCCCTCCTAGAATATTTAAAGATAAGCTCTTGATACTTTGTAAATTTCTTTAAATCTATGTGAAATTTCTGGTTTTATAACCTACAAAATTATAACCTACAAAACCTACAAGAAAAGGTACAAAACTGTTGTTTTAGAGGGAAACAAATATAAAATATATGCTTTAAGAAGAAAGTACACAAAATGCATATGAAATATTGTTATAATTATTACCGGTACATCCGCAAACAGAGAAAAAAAACATGCTAAAACTAACATCATAAAAATGAGAAGGCAAATCCAAAATGCCTTAGTGCAGTGGTTCCCAAACTTGGCAACTTTAAGACTTGTGGACTTCAACTCCCAGAATTCTCCAGCCAGCTCTCAGAGAGCTGGCTGGAGAATTCTGGGAGTTGAAGTCCACAAGTCTTAAAGTTGCCAAGTTTGGGAACCACTGCCTTAATGCACTTGATATACCTTGGGCCTAAGTCAGGCTATTTTGCGTCTCAGGTGGGATGAAGTAATGGTACCGCCACAAAAACAGAGCTATCTAAAACATGTCCTGAAGTTACAGAGGATTATAGGATGGCAGAAGGGTTTATGTGAGCCCACCCAATGCACCACCTCTGTCCATTTCTCACTCCTTAAGCAAGTTCTTAAGCTGCTGTTCCAATGGTGCTTTTGCAAAAGGCAACTGGACTTTCTTTTTCCATGAAGACCTTTCACTTCTCATCCAAGAAACCTCTTCAGTTCTTAAGCTGCTCTTCTAATCAATTCATATCCATTTCATCATGTCAGGAATTATGCCAGGCACAACTCAGCACATCAAGGGCTGCACTCCAAAGTAATTGTCCCCCAAGGGAGGTTGAGAAAGTTTTAAGGGCTGAAAGGGGTGCCCCTCAACCAGATTTAAATCCTTCAACCAGGCTAGTTTTATTTCTTAAAATTCCTCAAAAATCCAACACTACAAAAATGGGATAAACATTTGCCTTGCCCACTGTTGGGGGATTTGGATCCATAAAGGGATACTGGCAGGCCATATGGGGCCCACAGTCTGTGCTTGTGGCACCATGGGCTATAGTATCCTTACTTGAGGAGCCTTAGGGTCATCAAGGGAGATTGTTTTTGGTGTCATCTTCTACAGATTACCATTGAATCAGAAGATACCTTTTTTTTCCAGCTAGCCTGCTTGTTTCCTGGGCTTTATCCATCATCATTTAACTGAAATGATTGTATGATGTGTAATGATTTTATTTTGCATACTGTTTAGGGATGGTTTTAATAACGAACAATGTAAACCTTAAAAAAAAACTGCTGTCCATTCTCTTAGTCTTTCCCTGCCTCTTCTGTTTCTTCAGGTGTTCCTGGCCCTCCTGGCCCAAGAGGATTGAGAGGAGATCCTGGCATGAAAGGCCCACTTGGAAGCAGAGGAGAAAAGGGTGACATGGGGGATCTGGGCCCGCCAGGGCCACAAGGGTCTCTGGGCCCTCGCGGACTTTCTGGACCTCAAGGCGAGAGAGGCGCTGTGGGCACAAGAGGCCCCACTGGAATCAAAGGAAGCAAGGGTAGCTTTGGACAAGGGGGTTCCAAGGGGCGGGCGGGCCCCAAAGGGGACCCTGGACCTCCAGGTCCTGAGGGAGCCATTGGCCCACCTGGTCCACTTGGCCCACAGGGGAGACCGGGCATCCCAGGCAAACGCGGGCCTCTTGGTAATATAGGGCCGCCGGGCCGACAGGGGGATCCTGGAGTACAAGGTCTGCGTGGATTTCCAGGGCCCCCAGGACCTCCAGGAATGTAAATTCTCCCTTTTTTCTCCCCCCAAGTTTTAATGTGGACAATTGGGGGGGAGCTCTTTGCTGCAGACACCTGTCTCCCCAGGAAGGCATCAAGATAATGGGGAATGGATGGTGTCATTTATTCTGCACTGTCAAATTCCATTTTCAGTGGCTTAGGGATAAGCTTGAAAAATTGCTTCAAACCATTGAATTCTCTTAATTTTGGGAACTTCAAAGGCAAAGAATTGCAGCTGCAGAGTAAGTAGGAGGAGCAATCATTGGTAATTAGAATACACGGTCTGCATGTAAATGGTCCTAAATTCAGTTTCTAACATCCGCATAGAGGGCTGAAGCTCTGGAGAGATATTACCACTTAATATAGCCCCGAGTCACTTGGTTCAGTAGGTGGCTATAGAAATTGAATAAATAAATAAATAAAAATTAGCCATGCCAAATGAATAAATGGGCAAACAATAACAACTTCCTATCTTCATGTTACACAGTTGCCATGCTTTTTGTATATATGGGTGTGTGCGTGCGCAAGTGTGTTCATATGAGATATTGGCTCATCTGCTTGTGCATTCATTCCACAGTACAATTAGATTGTGTCGCTGATCTCTTCATCTGTAACTCTCTTATACATGTATGGTATAACCGCTACACATATACATCCAAAACAATAAAAAAAATGTAAAGGTGAGATGAAATTGCTTCTCTTCTTTGTATGTGGTGGAGCAGAGACTTGTAAGGCTTGCCAATTCCAATGTCTATATTTCTTTGGGTGGTATATTCTTCCTGACAAATCAGTTGGACAACCTGCTGTTTTCCTTATGAAAGAAAGTACATCAGAGATCATTTATCACTGAGCATTGGACAGCATACAGGTTTAAACAATTAGTAGTAGAAATAGTAGTTGTAGCAGTAGTAATCTACAGTTCAATTCACAGTCAAACACTGGTAGAAGTTTTAATAACTGAAATCCTAACTAAGGAATGAAGAATTATTAGGTAACAACTGAAGATAGAGACGTAGGGTATTTTGTTGTTGTTATGGTTGGTTGCATAGTCATCCAGATGTTTAGAGTAGACTGGGCACTTTTATCCACCTATCTTCGCAAGATTATCTGATTCAGTCTGGGCCAGTCTTTCTCAACCTTGACAACTTTAAGATTTGTGGATTTCAGGGCTGGCTGGGAAATTCTGGAAGCTGAAATCTGTACATCTTAAAGGTGAGAAGCAGTGCTCTAGATAATTTCACCTCTTTGTGGGATTATATGGATTTTACAGAATATGGCAGCAAAAGTGCTGACAGAAGCCTACTTTTTTATCATCTCTTCCTGAGTTTATAGCATCTTCAAAAGTTCCCACTTTGTTTCTAAGACCTGTTCAGTATGCTGGCTTTCATCTTTAAAATCCCAGTGGTTTTAGATTGAGCTAGCTAAAGAACCACTGCTTCCCATTCCAACTGTCTCTCCCCTTAGGATGCTCAATTAAGTTTTGCTTTGCATCTGCATAAGCAAAAACAATCCTATCTTGGCAAGTCATTGGCTTAGATTTCTGCATTTTTTATATTTTTCTACTGTGTTATTTCTACCTTACTCTTGAGTTTTTTTGTTCTTTTCTTATTTTAAGCTTGTTCTGTTTTCCTGTCTCACATACCATTGTGCACCTCTGTAACTCTTACAGTCATTAACTATCTGGACCAAAGAAAGATCCTGTGGAATGGAATGGAATCAGCTACTGTATGGAATCAGGCTGCTGTAATGACCTATTTACTCATTTTTGCTCTGTCACGCAGTCACCAACCAGTTCAACCACTTTACAGGCATGTACAGGAGAGCAATATGCCTTCTCCACTATTACTTCCCATTAAGTGAAAGCTTTCTCTGCAGGTGAAAAAACTCTGGATTGAAATACTGATGGGAAGAAAGGAAGGAGCTCTTTGTAATTACTTCCTCTCACTTCAGGCTCTCTGTAGTTCATGGGTGATGTTTTGCAATGTTTTCCCTTTCGCAAAGCTGGGGTGGGCGTGGCCTGCGTGTGATGCATCCCGCCCACAATCCGCCAGTTTGACACCCCTGTGGTGTAGTTGCTTTTCCTCACTTTCAATTATTTAAAATCTTAGCCATTGAAATTTTCCAATCTGTATTTAATCTGTTGTTCTGAGGCAGAAAAGCAAACTCTTTAGCCAAGATAAAATCAAGAAGAACTAGGAGGAAGATTTGTCTGGAAATGCGTTTGCAATGCCACATATTTAAACAATCATATCATCAAGCCAGAGAAATGATAAGTTGGGTGAGTGCCTAGGAACGACCTGATGAAAATTGACTCTCATTTCCTAAATTCCAGCAATGAGCTTCACGGGAGGGGAGAGCAATAATGTCATTCACAATGATGTGAATGATTTCACAATGATGGCATATGGTTTATTTAGCATTTTCTCAAACCTTAAGGGACATGTTAGTTTTTGTGGGCAAAAGCTTGTAATGAGGTTCTGACTGGTCTTTCGGAAAACAATCTGCTTCTTGAACAAACAGAGAAGGATGTGTGGATAGTAGAGGAATATTTGGCTCTTTCTCCACTCTTGTTTTACTCAAAAACACATCTCCCAGTAAGTTTTACATCCTCCCTTTCATTTACAAAAAAAAATGATAGCCTGTTGAGAACCACATGTAATCTGGTTCTTATTCTACCTCCAAAGTAAATTAGGGCATTTTTTGAAAAGCAAATCCTTATTATCCAAGGTTTTGGTCTGGCGGAGTGGGGACAGAAAAGAGTGAGATAGAACCTAATTCTATTAGCTGGCGCAGTGGTTAGAATGCAGTATTGCAGGCTACTTCTGCTGACTACCAGCTGACTGCAATTTGGCAGTTCGAATCTCACCAGGCTCAAGGCTGACTTGGTCTTCTATCCTTCCAAGGTGGGTAAAATGAGGTCCCAGATTGTTGGGGGCAATAGGCTGACTCTGTAAACCACTTAGAGAGGACTGTAAAGCACTGTGAAACGGTATATAAGTCTAAATGCTATTGCTATACTATGCTATTAGATCAGTTCTGCAATTGAGACATATCCTCAAATGTTACTGGAGCTTAGGGTGTTTCTAAATATAGCTGAACAAAACCAAAAAAAAATCTGTTTTACTTCTATGGTTAAGTCACACATACTGTATGCTGCTAATTCTCATTTGCTGAGTCTTCCTTAAATCCATCAGACATTTGCTGATCAACTAGCTCAGTTTGCTTGTTAGCACAAGCTATTTAAATCACAAGGAGGAAACATTTATCCTTGTCTAAGCATTAAATGAAGTATTCCGTTCTTACTCTCCCAAATGCTGTTTCAAACATCTAACTAGCTCCTCTTTTGTCAAGACTATAGTCATGTCATACATTGCAAATAGCAAACCTCAACAACACAAAGCAAAGTGCAAATGAGGTAAATCTATCGGTCTTTAAAGGAAGAGGAAAACCATAATTGAAACAGCCACCAAAAAAGCCACTCTAATCTATACTTCCTGAATCTAGGAGGTTCTTTATGTGCTGTAGATGGGGAGGGGGGAAAGATAGCAGCTGTAACTGGTGGAATTTCGGCCTTTTTTGGTGTGCATCACAGGCCACCTTTGATTACACTCTAGTGGCCTTCATCTCAACTTTTTTTTTTTACCATCACCTCACCTCCTGAATATGTCCAGTCTGACACTGCTGGACTTGATGAGATCAGAAGTGTCTCAAGTTTTAAAACGTAAAAAAAAAAAAAGAGTTTCTAAATTTCTGAGCCAACCCTTCTCAACCTGTTGCTCTTCCAAATTAAGGAGTTCATATGTTAGATCACATTCCCTCTGACTGATGGTTGCATGATTGGAAGTATGCTGGTTGTAAATGATGGGAGTTGTAGCATGTACTATGTTATCCTAGCCTAGGATAATTAAACAAAATGATGACCAGCATATATCCTGTACTTGGCCAGACAACATATAGTCACATTCAATCATCTATCTTTAATCTTCAATCCCCTCCAAGATTACAAAAACAAGTTTTGCTTGTCAAACCTTCCCTCCAAGCCTCCTAAAATAAAAAAATAAAAATGAATGTCTTATATCCACTTTCTCCAGTGTTGATCACTGTTAATTACAATATAATCTTATAGTTACCCACCCTTGGTTTCAAGTGAAAACAAAGTTATCAGGGAAGAATTCCCTTCCCTTACCTACTTTCTCTCCAAAAATAATTTGAGGGGAAAAATGGCTAATTAAACACACATGCACACAAGCACTTCATTATCAAATCAGATGTCTGGAAAGAACAATATTTGAATAAAAAATTGCTGTGATTGAATCGCTGAATTATAATGTTGGAAAAAGTCATTTAGGTCATCAGGTCTGATCCCTGTTCAGTACAAGGCTCCTTATTAAAGCTGTTTAAAAACTACTTGGACACATCTAGTGAAGGAGAGCCAATCACCTCCTGGCTGATTTTGTTATTGAGCAATTCTTGCAGTGAAGAATGTGTTTATTCTAATATTCATTCAGAATCTGATTTCCTGCAGCAAATACCTCTTTCACGAAAATGTATTTGGCAAGATTTTGAAGCAGGTCAGTTTTTGGATAGGAGCACACAAGCTCTCCATCCTTCACTGCTGGAGGCCCCTGAAATGTAATCTCTGCTTTGCAAAACTATCCCACAATATTTGCCACCCACTCCGGCCTGCTGGGCCAAAGAGACGCCATGAACGCTGAGGTCTGCTCACAGGGTGGAATTAAAACAAAGCATCTCCTCCCCCTTTCTCCAAACACACACAAACACTGCTGCACTTCCAGATAAAACACCGTGGAAAATAGCTAGGGTGCTGACTGCTTTCAAATCAAATTAAGGGTTGAATAAAACCACAAATCCCCTGGGATCTGGAAAAGACTGATTCAGGCAAGGAGGAGTGGGTGTACTGTTTGCCTTCCACTCTCTGCAATAGATCAACCAGCTTCACATAAAAGGAGGTTTCCTAAGGCAGAATAAGCAAGACTTCATAAAGAAGCCAGGAACATCAGTGGGCTTCCCAACCAGAGCTCTACAGTTTTAACTAGGGCAGTGATGGCTAACCTTTTTGTTGTTGCATACCAAAAATGAATGTGTGCATGCAACAGCATGCACACAAGCACCTACAGCTGTTAGGTAAGCTCCCTGTTGGGAGAGCGAGTGCGTTCAGAGAAGCGTTGTGAGAGTGGTGTTGGAGAACACACAAA